TACTAGATGGTTCGATTAGTCTTTCGCCCCTATACCCAGGTCAGACGATCGATTTGCACGTCAGAATCGCTACGGACCTCCACCAGAGTTTCCCTGGCTTCATCCTGCCCAGGCATAGTTCACCATCTTCGGTCTCAACGTGCACGCTCAAGCCCGCCAGCCACTTGAGCTTTGACGGCCGGCGGTGCGCCCGGCCTAGTAAACTAGGTGACGGATCTCGCCAATACACAGCGTTCACTGTGTCTTGCTTTCACTTTGCTAGCGGGCTTCAAGTCCCAACAACTAGCGCGCATGTTGAACTCCTTGGTCCGTGTTTCAAGACGGGTTAGATGGGCAGCCATCTACTCGCCACCGAATCTACAATGTGCCCACGTTGAAAGCCGGCAACGAGTCTATTGCACGATGAGGAGCCGAGCAAGCTCGTCATCCCACAACGCACCACAGAGCATACCGACCCAACGCTAACGCTGGCACACGCTGACATGACCGGTTGAAGCGCAAACGCGTACAAGTTAGCAGTAAGCACCTACGCCCGAAGGAATAAGGCTTCACACGCATACCCGACGGATGCTCGCTCAACGGCGGTGACGTACAAACAGCGAAAGTGCACCGGCAGATACGCTAAGCATAATCAGCTAGAGTCTTGCGATCTCAACACCAACCAGCCACGCACCATACCGGCTGAATTCACTGCTTTGCCTTCGAGGCCCCATCTGCTTGCCTCTGAGCGGTTTCACGCACTGTTTCGCTCTCTTCAAAGTGCTTTTCAATTTTCCTCACGGTACTTGTTCGCTATCGGACTCGTGGTCATATTTAGCCTTCGATGGAGTTTACCACCGACTTCACCTTGTACTCACAAACAAGGCGACTCTCCGAAAGTGTACACCGGCATCAACTGCTCACGATACGGGCCTTGCACCTCCATGGATGGAGCCTCACTCAGGAGAACTTACGCGAGCAAGCCACACCGGTAACCACCTTCTTCACGCCACAGTTCCTGCCACCGTTGCCAGCAGCAGGATTCGGCGCTGGGCTGTTCTTCACTCGCCGTTACTAGGGGAATCCTTGTAAGTTTCTTTTCCTCCGCTTATTGATATGCTTAAACTCAGCGGGTAATCTCGTCTGAGCTGAGGTCAAAGATTGAAAAACACGAAACATCGGTGATGTATTTTTGCCAGTACGTATTGATTTGCTCCGTTTCCGGCTTCCACACACCATGTCCGCGATTTTTAACCACGCAGATACGCTTAACCGCTTCCTGTCAGTAAACACCAGCTGAAACATCGCAAGGGTTGGCAGCTGATCATGCACGTGCAACTGCGGCGCACGGCTACGACAGCCTTCTGCTCCAACCAGCGATACCAGCCTTCACCGGTCCACTAACTAGAACGCATATCTGGTCTCAACTTCATCTGATAGCGCTTCAGCAGCGCTAGCCAGACAATACGCCACCTTCACGCAGCGGCGATTATTTTTATTCAACTGACCTCAACCAGGCGTGGCTTCAGTTAGCCCGAAGCCGCAATGTGCGTTCGAAGATCCGACGTTCACAAAGTCCTGCAATTCACGTCGCGTCTCGCATTTTGCTGCGTTCTTCATCGACCCACGAGCCGAATGATCCACCGCACAGAGTGATTCAATCGGTTTGTATTTCGGTTTACGCTCAGCGCTGTCTTGCTGACGAGCAGCCTCGCATAGAACCTCTTAGTAGAATACCTTGAACGAATAACGCATTTCCGAAGAAATGCAGCGGGGCGGCCATTACGAACTATAGCCAACGACCGATGCGTGGTCGCCAGAATAGTCGGCAACGACGCTCGTTGCAGCTGCTTTATAACCTCGGACGCTACTGGTCCTCATCCTACGGCGAATGCCTCCTGCAGTCTCGCGTGATTTTGCAGCGACTGCAGAGCATCGTCTTGTAGAACGGTAGGTACCCCGTGGCACAACCGCCTCACTTCAACTTTCCGTTCACGCTTAGACAGAAGAGTCAACGCGATGCGGTGCACCAAGTTTTCAAATCACTACCGTACCCTGGCAGTTGACGACGCACGCTGCAATCGATCAACCAAGCGCTCCAGAAGTAGCGGTAGGCGAGTCACCGTTCGTATAGACTCGACTTTGAGTAAGCGCCGAAGCGCTCATCGTGTACGAGCGCAGCGCATGCTTGCACACATCGCTCGATGTCACGTTAATGATCCTTCCGCAGGTTCACCTACGGAAACCTTGTTACGACTTTTACTTCCTCTAAATGAGCCAGTTTGGTCGTCTTTCCAACCAGCCGAAGCCGCCTTGCGACAGCCTCGATGGCCAGTCCGAAGACCTCACTAAATCATTCAATCGGTAGTAGCGACGGGCGGTGTGTACAAAGGGCAGGGACGTAATCAACGCGAGCTTATGACTCGCGCTTACTGGGAATTCCTCGTTCATGAGCGATAATTACAAAGCTCAATCCCAATCACGAAGGGGTTTAATCGGATTCCCAGGCCTTCCGGCCAAGGTGATTAAGCACGTTGCTCCTTCAGTGTAGCGCGTGCGGCCCCGGACATCTAAGGGCATCACAGACCTGTTATTGCTCAATCTCGTGCGACTAAACGCCGCCTGTCCCTCTAAGAAGCTTTTGTAGCAACTGACGCTGCGGATCAGTTGGCTATTTAGCAGGCTAGAGTCTCGTTCGTTATCGGAATTAACCAGACAAATCGCTCCACCAACTAAGAACGGCCATGCACCACCACCCACCGAATCAAGAAAGAGCTCAATCTGTCAATCCTTACAGTGTCCGGGCCGGGTAAGTTTTCCCGTGTTGAGTCAAATTAAGCCGCAGGCTCCACTCCTGGTGGTGCCCTTCCGTCAATTCCTTTAAGTTTCAGCTTTGCAACCATACTTCCCCGGAACCTAAGCACTTTGGTTTCGGAAGCTGCCCGTCGAGTCATCAAAAACACCGACGGATCGCTGGTTGGCATCGTTTATGGTTAGAACTAGGGCGGTATCTGATCGCCTTCGAACCTCTAACTTTCGTTCTTGATTAATGAAAACATTCTGGCAAATGCCTTCGCAGTAGTTCGTCTTGCGACGATCCAAGAATTTCACCTCTAACGCCGCAATACGAATGCCCCCGTCTGTTCCTATTAATCATTACCTCGAGTTCCGAAAACCAACAAAATAGAACCGAGGTCCTATTCCATTATTCCATGCACCATTATGTAGGCCGTACGCCTGCTTTGAGCACTCTAATTTTTCAAAGTAAACGTTCCGGTCGCCCAAGCACACCCAGTGAAGGGCATGCAAGACATGGTTGTATTTGTGGCGCCGAACAGATAGTAGCGCTGTGAAGCGCACCGTCCGTCCAACTGCCCAGATTCAACTACGAGCTTTTAACCGCAGCAACTTTAATATACGCTATTGGAGCTGGAATTACCGCGGCTGCTGGCACCAGACTTGCCTCCAATAGATCCTCGTTAAAGGATTTAGTGTACCTATTCCGATTGCGAGAGGCATAAAGCCCTCGCATCGTTATTTTCGTCACTACCTCCCCGTGCTGGGAGTGGGTAATTTGCGCGCCTGCTGCCTTCCTTGGATGTGGTAGCCGTTTCTCAGGCTCCTCTCCGGTATCGGACCCTGATACCCCGTCACCCGTAATAGCCTTGTTAGGAACGTAACCTAACAACAAGCTGATAAGTCAGACACTTGAAAGATCTGGCGCCGGTACGAGACCATGCGCTCTGCTTCGGTTATTCAGAGTCACAAGTTACCGACCCGAAGGCCGGATTGGTCTTGTTCTAATAACTGCGCTCGCTTCACAAGGAAACGAGCTGGTTGCACGTATTAGCTCTAGAATTACCACAGTTATCCGTGTAAACGGTACGATCTAGTGAACCATAACTGATTTAATGAGCCATTCGCGGTTTCGCCTTGTTATAGCAAGTACTGAGACATGCATGGCTTAATCTTTGAGACAAGCATATGACTACTGGCAGGATCAACCAGGTAGCAATCATTGGACAATTATTCGACAAACCCCGATGCTCGCAGTGCACGCTACACAGCGCTTAGCAATCGGTAAATTTTGTCTGTCCACGTACAACATCGGCAGGTGAACGCAAAGCGCTCTTAGCTTCGACGCAGTCGGAGTTCGAACAAACCATCGGAGCTTTCTAGACACCAGCATCACGCGCTAGCCAGGCCACACCGATTTAGCGGTTTGATGCTCACCTTCCGGCACAGCGGCACAGTCGGCTCGCGATTTTACTCCTGCAAGCGATCGATACAGCTTTTAACCTGACCGACGAGCACGAATTATCAGGATTTTTGCTTGCACGCTACAAGCAATCCCGAACCACAGCTAAACTGCGTTCATTTCTGTTCCGATCAGAAGTTCTGATCGTATTCTGGTTTTAACCAGTTTGTTGTACTTCCGATATCAGCGGAATTTGCGTACACCACTTCGAACGATCGTGTCGTTCTCACCATTTCGCTGATATTTGGCGGCTTCTTCGCTGTACCAACCAACCAGCAACGTCTGAATTAACAAATTGGACGCCCCACTACGAAATACAGACATAAATGCACTTCGCCGATCAATTTCCGCTTCCGAAGCTACATTGCAAGCGGGAGCAACAACCGGCTACTGAGCAATTTAAGCCTTAGCTAGAACCGAGCAGTGCAACTATATTCACGTCGCATACCTCGCTAGCCACTTCGCAGTCAGCCATCTCAATATAAGCGTCGATGCCAATGTTAACAGCCAGAAATTTGTCATAGCCAAAATGAAATTTTCATGGCCAAAATACATTAGCCGTCATTTTGGCTATGGCAAAATATTTAATTTCACTAGAGAAGCCCCATCCGGTGAAATTTTCATCTTCGCCTCGGTCAAATACTTAGCGTAGATTGATGCACCAGTCCACTGACGGGCCCTATCCGGTGAAATTTTCATCTTCGCCTCGGTCAAATACTTAGCGTAGATTGATGCACCAGTCCACTGACGGGCCCTATCCGGTGAAATTTTCATCTTCGCCTCGGTCAAATACTTAGCTTAGATTGATACACCAGTCCACTGCCGGGCCCTATCCGGTGAAATTTTCATCTTCGCCTCGGTCAAATACTTAGCGTAGACTGATGCACCAGTCCACTGCCGGGCCCTATCCGGTGAAATTTTCATCTTCGCCTCGGTCAAATACTTAGCGTAGACTGATGCACCAGTCCACTGCCGGGCCCTATCCGGTGAAATTTTCATCTTCGCCTCGGTCAAATACTTAGCGTAGATTGATGCACCAGTCCACTGACGGGCCCTATCCGGTGAAATTTTCATCTTCGCCTCGGTCAAATACTTAGCGTAGACTGATACACCAGTCCACTGCCGGGCCCTATCCGGTGAAATTTTCATCTTCGCCTCGGTCAAATACTTAGCGTAGACTGATGCACCAGTCCACTGCCGGGCCCTATCCGGTGAAATTTTCATCTTCGCCTCGGTCAAATACTTAGCGTAGACTGATGCACCAGTCCACTGACGGGCCCTATCCGGTGAAATTTTCATCTTCGCCTCGGTCAAATACTTAGCGTAGATTGATGCACCAGTCCACTGACGGGCCCTATCCGGTGAAATTTTCATCTTCGCCTCGGTCAAATACTTAGCGTAGATTGATGCACCAGTCCACTGACGGGCCCTATCCGGTGAAATTTTATCTTCGCCTCGGTCAAATACTTAGCTTAGATTGATACACCAGTCCACTGCCGGGCCCTATCCGGTGAAATTTTCATCTTCGCCTCGGTCAAATACTTAGCGTAGATGGATACACCAGTCCACTGCCGGGCCGTATCTGGTGAAATTTTCATGTTCGCTTTGGTGCGAAAATGCTCCGATGAGCAACGATGAAAGTTTGTCATAGCCGAAACGAACGAAAATGCTCCGATGAGCAACGATGAAACTTTGTCATAGCCGAAACGAACGAAAATGCTCCGATGAGCAACGATGAAACTTTGTCATAGCCAAATGGGCAAAATGCTCCGATGAGCAACGATGAAAGTTTGTCATAGCCGAAACGAACGAAAATGCTCCGATGAGCAACGATGAAAGTTTGTCATAGCCGAAACGAACGAAAATGCTCCGATGAGCAACGATGAAAATTTGTCATAG